TTCTATTCAGATGGCTCCTTATGAGGCACTATACGGTCGTAAATGTCGTTCCCCTCTTTATTGGGACGACGTTGGAGAACGCCGAGTACTCGGTCCGAAGCTGATCGAGGAGACAGCCGAGCAAGTCGAGTTGATTCGGCAGAGACTCAAGACAGCCCAGAGTAGAATGAAATCAACCGCCAATCATCATCGACGAGATATTCAGTTCGAGGTTGGCGAGCACGCTTTTCTCAGAATTAGTCCATTTCGTGGAGTTATTCGATTCGGGAAGAGAGGGAAGTTGCACCCTCGGTTCATTGGCCCGTTCGAAGTACTCGAGCGAGTGGGCGATGTTGCGTATCGTTTAGCCTTACCTCCCGAGATATCCAGTGTTCACAATGTCTTTCATGTATCTATGTTACGCAAGTACGTGTGCGACCCCGATCATGTCATTCCTCATACTGATATTGAGATTCATCCAGACTTATCTTACGAGGAGCGACCGGTAGCTGTGTTGGACCGACAGGTTCGACGGCTCCGGAAGCGTAATGTTCCCCTCGTTCGTATTCAGTGGGATCGCCACGGAGCCACTTGGGATCAGGAGGCTGACATTCGCGCTCGTTTTCCCGACTTTCAGTTTTGATATGTATATTTTCATGTATATATGTTTTGTTTTATATTTCCGAGGACGGAAATATTTTAAGGAGGGTAGATTGTAATAACCCAACTTCTTGTTAATATAATGATGTATTATCTTTTATTAATTCCGTTCATTTTTAGCAAATAAGTTCGACGTTAAGTCGAAAAATTTATCCGGTTAATTATTAACCGAGTCAAATTCGATAATTAATTTCCGAACCGTTTATTTTATAAACGGACATTTTTAATCGGGATTAATTATTGACAGTTAAAAATGTTCGGATCTAAGTTTGAAGTTAAAAATCAAACTAAGTCGTGTTAAGTCACGAGTACCCATAATACACCATGCACGCATGTTGTGCATAATCGTGTGTATAGCCTGCGCACGCGACCGTGCGCAGCGCACGGCAATGCGCGTGAAGCAAGCCACTACGCCTTAAGCATGCTTTCATTGCCTTAAACACCATGATCAAGCAAACCAAATCCCAAACTATTTTCTTAATATTTCCGTGAGAAGTTACTAAAGGAAAGTTCTTGAGTGTGCAAGTGGGGTGATGAATCACCTATGTGCTTGCACACGCGGCGCGCCACGAACGCACGGGCGATGACTAAGCCCGTGCATGGCCGCCACCTCGGCAATGACTAAGCAAATTTGCCCAACACTTCAGCCGTGCTTTGGACACTTGTAATCAAAGGAAATAATGTCACCATTCACCTCTTTGACCAAAGTTCACCCTCGTCTTACTCCTTTAAATTACCGTGTATGGACGTTGAGTTCATGCACTTTTCACGCACAAAGTCCAGCCAACTTCAGCATATAATTGAGAGAGAAAACAACAAGGAAAAATAAGAGAAAAATAGTACAAAAATACCTGAGTACTACCGAAGCAAGGGAGAAGCATAAGGACACTGAAGGACTACCGAACACGCACGCACACCATCGCACAATTCATGTCCAAACTGAAGGGTACATTCTTGTTTACCCTCTCTTTATATAATTCAATTTATTATAAGAAGATCATGTCGATATCATTAGGGCTGGGCAAAAAATTCGAACCGAACCGCTGAATCGTAGATCCGAATCGAAATCGAACCGAATTTTTGGTTAACCGGGGTACTCAGTTCGGTTACAAATACCTCAAATGAAGTATTTGCTCGGTTCGGTTCGGTTACGGTTTTTAGGATTTTTTTACTCCAGTTAACCGAACCGAACCGTATATTAAGCCCAGATAGCTACTTTGTGTTAGCCCAATAAGCATATCCTTAACCTTAAGCCCATTGTGCAACCTATTTTTTTTGGAAACCCTACGAGAGGCCATCTTCTCCAATTTTTTCATCCGCCTCTCTTCCTGCCAAATGGAACGCTCCCAAATTTATCCCAAACACCTTCTCCTTCAATCAGTCCTTCTCGCCGACGTTTATCGCAGCACCCGAACTCGCCAGTGACGCCCTACCTTATCGCCGTGAGACAGAGCCGAGAAGCATCCGTGGAGGAGCACACTTTCAACCCCCGTGCGACACCTCCGAGCAGTCGCCTCCCTCTGCTTGTGCTCTGGCGACAACCACCACGAGACTAGTCGTCTCCAACCCTTCTGTCGGCGTACAGAGCAACCCGCAAACATCGCAGCCCAGCCTAGCCGCGAACAGAAACGAGTCGAGACCCGTCGCCCATCGCCCGTGCAGTGCTCTTCCGCCGTGGTCGGTTTGTGTTCGAGAGGTAATATTGGCTGAGCTTTATTACCTCACAGTGGTCGAGTTTTAGATGCTTGTTTATGTGATGTGGTTGTGCCATTATTTTGACTTAATTGTTGTGGCTTAAATTGTGTGTTGTCTTGGTGTTTAAGTTCAGTTCTTATGTGAAGTAATTTGGGCAGATTTGGTAGATTTATTGGTTTTTGATTCATTGGTTTTTGATTTATAGAATTATGGAGTCAATGGGTTCAAAAACCAGTGGTGATGCTGTGGATTCAATCCAGCCATTAGAAACGGAAACACCGACTGAGCCACAGACAGAACCGATAGAGACAGTAGCTGAAGCTCAAGCTGAATCAATTGCAACAACTCCCACAAATGCGACACCCAAACTTCGATCCATTGCATGGGATAATTTTAAAAAAACTGAAGCCGGGGATAGGGCCAAATGTCACCACTGTTCTACCTTGATAAGTTGTAAGGGCAAGCAAGGTACAAGTACTAGTGTTATGTTAAACCATTTGAGAAGATGCAAAGCAAAGTTGGATGAGGTTCAAGATGAAGAGCGGCCGGGAAAGAGGATTAAGCAGGTAACATTGCATAATCAACCTAGAAGGGGTAGTGATTCCACTGTTGTCAATTCTTATTTGCATTTTGATCAATCAAAATGACGTAATGCACTTGCAAAATGGGTTGTTGTTGATGAGATGCCATTTAGGATTGTAGAATCTGAAGGTTTTCGTGAATGCATGAGTGTGATTCAACCTAGGTTTGGAATTCCATCAAGGAAAACATTGGTTAGAAATTGTATTAAGATTTATGAATATAAGAAGTCCAAGTTGGAAAGTTTTATTAAGAACCACAAGGGTAGTTTTTGCCTCACAACTGACATTTGGACATCATGCCAGAATCTTAGTTATATGTCATTGACAGCCCATTTCATTGATGAAAGTTGGAATTTGCATAAGAAAATTCTAAACTTTTGTCCCATTCTCGGTCACACTGGAGCTGCTATTGGGAAGAAAGTTGAAGATTGTTTAGTGTCCTGGAAAATAAAAAATATTTTCAGTATTACAGTTGATAATGCCAGTGCGAATGATGTTGGTTTGAAATATCTAAAGGACAGGTTGAATAAATGGGGAGGAACAATTTTAGATGGCAAATATCTACACATGAGGTGTGGAGCACATATCCTTAATCTCATTGTTAAGGATGGTTTGAAGGAGTTTATGGGTCCAGTTGAGAGAATACGTGCTGCAGTTCTTTTTGTCAGGTCTTCATCGAATCGAACACAAGCATTCAAGAAGTTGATTGAGAAAGCAGGATTGAGCACAAATTCGGTTGTTTCACTCGATGTCGATACACGGTGGAATTCAACATATAAGATGTTGGATTCGTCCTTAAGAGTAAAAGATGCATTTGATCTGTTGGAATTTGAAGATGAAAAGTTCATTAAAGAACTGAAGAAAAATGGCGAAACCCCACCAAATGAAGAGGATTGGTCGTATGTGCGTGGATTTCTTCCATTTTTGAAGTGTTTTCATGACACTACTGTTAAAATTTCAGGTTCCAAGTATGTAACCGGAAATTTATACATGAAAGAAATTTTCCGTGTTGCATACAACATTCAATCAATGAAGAAACATTCAGATTTTATGGTTAGATCAATGGTTACCAAGATGTCTGAGAAGTTTTTCAAGTACTGGGGTGATTGGAAGAATGTCAATGCTATGATATATATTGCAACTATTCTTGATCCACGTCACAAAATGCGTTGGGTGAGCTTCATGATCAACCGTGTGTATAAAGAAAGTGATGCAAAGGAGCTGCTTAAGAAGATTGAGGGTGTTTTGAAAACAATGTTTGAAGAGTACAATTCCACATCACTATCTGGTGCAGCAGCGGATTCCTCATCTACTCAGACTCGATC